TATTTTCATCAGTGATATTTCATTTAATATATATTATTGTATATGACTAGTTAAAAAATTCGAGATGAAGTATATTAGAAAGTTTCCAGTAATCGAGGCTTGGCATTCATTAAAAAAAACTTAGGAGCACGATATTTGTTGGTTATAGTAGGCTACAATAGTTACTTCAGAAAGAATTAATATTCAAATCAAACGATTTCCAGAAATAATTTTCAGGCTCTGAGTCACATATTTTGTATCAATGATGAAGTAGTCATAGCTTTTGACTACGGGACCGTGGGCACAAATCCGTTTGGCTTCCTACTAGTTCCATTGAGACCAACCTGTGGTCAAAATATGAGTTGTACAGCGAGTGGCCACTTCGGGTACCTCCCTCGTAAGTTAAATATTGTCTTTATTCATCTCTGAGATACGAATATGACAAAAAATCGCTATAGTAAGAAATATTTGGACAATTGTATTTTTTCATTCGTAGAAATATATATCGATGAGAAAAAACTTTCATAGCTACGTATTCTTTTCATCGATTATAATGCACTTTTAAGTGTAACGAAAGAAAAAAAACGTGATCTATCTGTGTGTTCGCATCTCTATAGGTTTTTCGTTGCGTATCGAAATATACGTAAATATACTTTTATTAATCATGGGAGAAAAAGAGTTAGAGAAAAAAGCAGTCGGCGTTCGATGGCCATTAAATATATAAACTGATGTATTACCTGAAAATATTTTATTTCGACTCGAAAAACGAATCTCTAAATCACCTAATTCAATAACGATCAAGTAAGAAAAATCTATTGAGAAAAAACATATCATTTTATATTTTAAAATATTTTGATTTAGATTGTATTCATTTCAATGAATAAATCATTGAATTGTGTGCAAAGTAAAAAATTTGACATTTCACATTATTTGTATGTTTTCATTCTTTTCTTAAAATTCATTTTACTTATTTTTTTTCTTTATTTGAAGACAAGGCTCTTCTTCCGGAATGTTAAACAACCTGCTTCCAATTTTGATGGCTATCTTATGTATAATGATTATAATCACCGCAATTATCATTATCTGTTTTACTACACCAAAATCTGAAGGTTATTGTTTTGCTTCCAATAAACATAGAAATTAAATAGAGAATTTTCTTTGATTTGCTTTTCTAGTGAAAAAATGTGAACTCAATTTTGTACGGAAGAATTCAAATCCAATTGAATATAATTATGGTCCACAAGCAGTTTCTTTGGGAGATTTTAATAATGATTCGTGGATGGATATGGTTATTGTTAATTCACTCGTGAATCAAATTGATATTTATTTCGGATTAAATGATGAAACATTTTCAAAGGAATTTTCGTATTCAACTGGAATTTCTTCAAACCCAATAATGTCTGCTGTTAATGATCTGAATAAGGATTCCTATTTAGATATTGTAGTAGCTAATTATGGAAGGCATTCAATTGGAATATTCTATGGATATGGTAAT